TTCTCCCAAGAATCCATGGACACCATCTACCCAGGATCATTTGACATTGAATTTTCACTTGGCCTCACAAAAATCACTGAATTGTAATACCAAAGTTGAGTGAAGGCCAGATTGTGGTTAGGAAGACCCCATTCCACCACTACTACCACATTCTACTCAGTTTCAAAGCTAAGAAAGGCAGGAGTATTCATTTCTATGGGGATGAGGGGAGTTTCCTTCCCTCCTCTATCTCCCCAGTTTATCATTCACTGAGACTGTTGCCTATTGGGATCTCAGCTTTCTAGTGCTGATCTTTTCTTTTCTTTTTCTTTTCTTTTCTTTTCTTTTCTTTTCTTTTCTTTTCTTTTCTTTTCTTTTCTTTTCTTTTTTCTTCTGACTTTCATCTTTGATCAGGTCCCAGGCACTGTCTTATGTCTCATATGTACAGGATATAAAATAAGGGCATGATGAGGATGTGGAACAGCTGCAACTCCCATACATTGCTAGTGGAAGTATAAATTGGTTTTGGAAAACTTTTGGCAGTATCTAATAAAACCAAATATAGTGGGGCACCCGGGTGGCTCAGTGGTTGAGCACCTGCCTTTGGCTCAGGTCGTAACCCCAGGGTCCTGGGATTGAGTCCCGCATTGGGCTCCCTACAGGGAGCCTACTTCTTCCTCTGCCTGTGTCTCTGCCTCTCTCTCTGTCTCATGAATAAATAAATGAAATCTTTAAAAAAACAAACAAACAAACAAATATAGGCCTACCCTGTGACTTAGTAATTCTAATTCCATTGCTACTTTTTTTTAAAGATTTTATTTTTTAAAGTAATCTCTATATCCAATGTGGAGCTCACACTCCTAACCCTGAGATCAAGAGTTGCATCCTCTTCCAACTGAGCCAGACACACACCCCTCCATTACTGCTTTTATAGCCAAGAGGAATAAATGTGTAAGTGCATCAAAGGACATAGAAGATAATTTTCACAGCATTTTTATTCATATTTGCCCAAACTTGGAAGCTCCTTAAATCTCCTGCAACAGGACAGTGAGTACATTTTGGAATATTCATACAGTAGTATATTGCACAGCAATAAAAAGGACTGGACAGCGTGTATGAATTTCATAGACATTAGGTTGAGTGAAAGAAGCCAGACATAAAATAGTAGTGATGCGATTCCATTTATATTAAGTTCAAGAACAGGCAAAACTATAGTGATAGAAGTTAGCGCTTACTTCTGTAAAGAGGATATTGCCTGAGAAGAGAAGGAGGGAACTTTCTGAGATGACGAAAATCTCAACGTGGGTGGTAATTACATGGATGTATTTATTGCCTGTGAAAATTCATTGAGCTTTACATTCAGATTTGGGTGTTTAAACACTTCATTGTGTGTTCTTTGATACCTCCGTTTTAAAAGAACAGAAAAAATATAAGGCCATGAGAAATCAGATCCTCTCAGGAGATGGCTTCTTAGAGTTTATAGTCTACTAATACCACATTGCCAAGATCCATTTTCAACATTAAAGACAAAAAATACTTTCTGTTCATTAAAAAAAATTGCTGTCTCTTTTCTGTAGCCAAACTCAAGAGGTTTGCTACTTGAGGTGCATTAAACTGAACACAGCCCAAGGAAGTATTGAAAACAGAATTTTGGGGCACCTGGGTGGCTCAGTTGGTTAAGTGTCTGACTTGATTTTGGCTTAGGTTGTAATCTCAGGGTTGTGGAACCTGTTTAAGATACTCTCTCCTCTCCCTCTGCTTGCTTGCTCTCTTAAGAAGAAAGGAAAAGAAAGCGAAGAGTTTTTTTATTAATTTGTCACAAGGAGACAGGGAAATGGTTCTCAAAGTACTGTTTCCCCTTTGGGGTTCATGGATGAAACTTTTATTCAGTGTGCTAGGGAATAAGGCCAGGGAGCTTGATACATTAAGGAATTTACACATTTTATTACCTAGGCACTTGGTTTCAGCTGCTCATCTTAGTATGTGAACATGCTAGTGTATACATTGTATGTTCAAAAAATGGTTGTAAAACCTTGCCCATGGGAGATCTTAATTTTATAATGAACTAAAGGTAACTTTAGGGCAACTCAGAGGGCTTCTATGCAGGTCCTCAGCTCCAAACTGGCTCATGGAGGAGGGTATTTGATGGAACACCTAGCCATAGCTTCTTGTTCTGCAAAACAGACAAATTCTTTCCTGGCTTTAACATTTCTACCTTATGTGTTAGAAATATTTTTTAACTTGGAAAATCTAGGTAAAGAGTAAAGGAAATTTCCTAGCACTATATTTAACTTTTCTGTAATTCTAAGATTATTTAAAAGTGAAAGTAGGTTTTTTTTTTTTTTGAGAGGAGGGGTAGCAAAGTAGAGGGAGATATATTTTTTTTATATATAGATTTACTTATTTGAGTAAGAGGGTACAAGGGGAGGGACGAAGGGAGATAGAAGCAGACTCCGCCAAGTGCAGAGCCTGATTCAGGGCTCTGTCTCATGACCCTGAGATCGTGACCAGAGCAGAAATCAAGAGTCTGACACTTAACTGACTGAGCTTCCCTGGCACCCCTTGTTTGTTTGTTTGTTTTATTTTTTTATTTAAATTCAGTTTAGGGGCACCTGGGTGGCTCAGTGGTTGAGCGGCTGCCTTTGGCCCAGGGCGTGATTCAGGAGTCCCAGAATTGAGTTCCACTTTGTGCTCCCTGTATGGAGCCTGCTTCTCTCTCTGCCTGTGTCTCTATCTCTCTCTCTGTGTCTCTCATAATAAATAAATAAAATCTTAAAAAAAATAGAATTTAGACTGGAGAACAAATACACAAATGTACTTCTATGTCTCTATGTAGAGTTGTAGAAATTGCAAGAAGCATTCACTGGATATTAGCTTAGCAAGGCACATATTTTCTGCAAATTGTTTCAATCACAGAGCAGTTAAAATAACATTTTGGGTTAAAAAAATAAATTTAGTTAACCTAAAATGTATTATTAGTTTCAGGAGTAGAATTTAGTGATTCATCAGTTGCATATAGCACCCAGTGCTGATTACATCAAGTGCCCTGCTTAATGCCCATTACCTGATTACCCAATTCCCCCAGCAATCCTCAGTTTATTCCTTGTAGTTAAGAGTCTCTTATGGTTTGCCTCCCTCTCCATTACTTTATTTTTCCTTCCCTTCCTCTATGTTCATCTATTTTGTTTCTTAAATTTCACATATGAGTGAAAACCATTTGATATTTGTCTTCTCTGACTTAGCTTAGCAGAATACTCTCTAGTTCCATCCACATCATTGCAAATGATCCAAAAAGATTTCATTCTTTTTGATGCCTGAATGATACTCCATTGTGTATACATACCACATCATTATCCATTCATCTGTCAGTGGACATCTGGGCTATTTCCATATTTTGACTATTGTGGACATTTCAGTTATAAACATTGGGATGCATGTGCCCCTTCAAATCTCTGTTTTTGTATCCTTTGGATAAATACCTAGTAGTGTAATTGCTGGGTAGGGTATTTCTAATTGACATACAATGTTACATTAGTTTCAGATATATTATATACTAATTGGACAGTTCTGTACACAGCTCAGCGCTCTCCATTAAGTGTAGATAAGTTCTGTCATCATACAAAGTTATTCCAAATTATTGTCTATATTCCTGATGATGCTGTACTTTTAATCCTTGTCACTTATTTTATAACTGGAAGTTTGTACCCCTTAATCCCTTTCATCTGAAAATAAAAGATTTTTTAAAAAGCTTTTCAAGTTTTAACTTTAGAAAACTCATTTCTCTTTATAATTCTGAGTTTTAAGCAACTAAGTTAGAAACTTTTGGAATGTAGTCCATTTATAAATGAGGACTATTTGCACCATGTTTGATTCTTCATATCAATTCACTGTAACTGCTTTTTTCTTTTCCTGATTTTTCTATTTTTTTAAAGACATTTATTTTGGGGATGGAGGGGCAAAAGGAGAGGGAGAGAATCTCCAGCAAACTCCCTCCATATGGAGGAGTCTGACACAGGGCTTGATCCAAATGATCCTGAGACCATGACCTGAGCTGAAATCAAGAGTCAGGTGCTTAACCGACTGAACCACCCAGGTGCCCCTCTTTTCCCAACTTCTTCCTTTTTTTTTTTTTTTTTAAACATTCATTCATTTTGGAGAGCGAGAACACAAGAGGGAGGGGCAAAGGGAGAGAAAATCACAAGCAGACTCCTGCTCAATGTGGATGGAGGCAGGTGCATGCAAGGGGGGGGTGGGGGGCAGAGAATCTTACAACCACAAGATCATGTGAACGGAAACCAAGAGTCAGGTGCTTAACCAATTGTGCCACCCTGGTGCCCCCTTTCCCAACTTTTAAAATGTTTTCTGTCTTCTGCCGTTGGCATTTTGCCTTATTTTCCAACTTGTTTGTTTTGGTCTGCATTCCAAAGACAGAATGAATTCTATACTTTTGTGAAATGTATCTTTAAAGGGAATCAAACTAAAAGACAGGATCTTAAGCTCAAGTAAGATATGAAAAGGGCTGTTTGATAAGCATTTAGAGGTTTATTAGATCAGGGATGGCAAATACCTGTCACTTAACATTCTTTCATCCATTAGGTGTACTGCTCACTAATCACAGTACTCTTCTTGAATCCCTCACACTTAGCTATCTACCTAGTTGGTTAGAGTTGACATGAATCACAAAATAGCTATTTGACATTTCTGTTTTGGAGGATCAGTTTTGAGAAACTTCTAGAGTTTGTGTTCTTTTAATTAATGAACGGGTCCATCCATTATATGAAATAACATCATTGTAATTATGGAAGTACAATTACCTAAAGAATACCTTAATCATTGTTTCTTGTCACTTAAAATTTCAGGTGTTTGTGAAGCCAGTTTTAATTTATTTATAGAATATTCTTAAAGTACAATGTATTCTTTAAATTTCCATACATTCATATGTCACATCTTTAACTTTTAAATGGGTAACATTTTTTATATGTCATTTACTTTTATTCTCGTGTTTTCTTTCCATCTTCAAGGAATGGACCTACCCTATGAGACGAGAGATGCAGGTAAGGTAACCTTTTTGTTTATTCAAGCCAACCCATATTACTAGTACCATTATTTTTTTTTATTTTTTTTATTTTTTATTTTTTTATTTACTTATGATAGTCACAGAGAGGCAGAGACACAGGCAGAGGGAGAAGCAGGCTCCATGCACCGGGAGCCCGACGTGGGACTCGATCCCGGGTCTCCAGGATCGCGCCCTGGGCCAAAGGCAGGCGCCAAACCGCTGCGCCACCCAGGGATCCCGAAAATGTTTCATTTCTTTAGTGAAAACTCTCTTTTTAAAAGTAGCTTAGTATCTGTGAGGCATTTTATTTGGTGCTTTGGGGAATACACAGATGAGTAAAGTGTAATTTCTGCCACAAGAAGCTGGTAGGAGAAATCAGACCTGTAGTCAAATAATTACAGTTTTTCATAGAACTGAACTACAAAATTATACTGTATTAGTATCTAGGATATGATATAGTCCAACTGAAATCTTTTTATGTTGAACTCACATAGAATAAATTTTAATCTAGCATTTGGAAAGTAAACAATTTAAAATTGTTGAAACTCGGTCAGTAGGCAGACATTTGGTATTGGTCTTTTTTAAACTTTGCAATACTTTTATTAACTAAAGATAACAACAGTTCTAACCTTGTGTCTTGAGCTGCTTTTGATTTGGCTAAATAAGGTTTTGTGTAATTCCAAAGGGGTGATTTTCTTTATGCCTATTTTATTTCTAGCCTGTATGAGAGAGAATATAAATAAAATTAGAGATGTTTTATTAATAAGTCTAAAAGACAATCATATAGGGGCACCTCTTTGGCTCAGATAAGTGTTGGATTCTTGGTTTTGGCTCAGGTCATGATCTCATTATCATGAGATTGAGCCTTGCCTTGGTCTCTGTGCTGGGCATGGAGCCTGCTTAAAATTCTCTTTCTCCCTTTCCTCATACCCTCTGTCTTTATTTTTTTTTTAATATTTTATTTATTCATGAGAGACACAGAGAAAGAGAGAGAGGCAGAGACACAGGCAGAGGGAGAAGCAGGCTCCATGTAGGGAGCCTGACACGGGACTCGATCCTGGGACTCCAGGATCAGGCCCTGGGCCAAAGGCGGCACTAAACCGCTGAGCCACCAGGGCCGCCCACACCCTCGGTCTTTAAAAAAAAAAAAAAAAAAAAAGGATAGTCTTACAATATGCTTATTTTACCCAAACTGCTTTTAAAAAGGCACTGTGGAAAAAAATAAAAATAAAAAGGCACTGTGGAAGTTCACATTATCTGACTTTTCAAAACCAGATTTAAACTTTAAATGTTTCACTTGATATATAAAGCACATCTGCATTTCTTTTCCCAATCATTGGCTCAGTGTGGCTAGGAAATGTTCCTTAAATAACAAGCTGTTTTGCTAAAAAAAAATTACTATAACAACTATGGAAATACTCCACAAATCCACTCATATGGTATATAGTTTGTATAGATTTAAATTTTTAATGGTCAATATCTCTATTTTATTTTTCCTAGGAAATTTTACCTGGACTGTTTCTAGGACCATATTCTTCTGCTATGAAAAGCAAGGTATGAACTTTAGGTTAGGTTCATCAAAAGACTATTAACTAGCTTTTTTGAAATAAATTTTTTAGTAGTAGGCATTTTATTTGAGGTAAGATCCACAAATACTGCATGTCACCCTGGAGTACCGACCTCTTTAAATTTTACTGGACCAGTCATTGTCAGGTGTTTCACAACAAATCACAAATGAGCTTTTTTATGTATTATTTTTCTTGTGAAATCCATGTATTTGAAAGATTTACTAAATAATTGACTTTCTATCCTCTAAAATATTAGATATCTATCATTGCTAATCGTATCCTCTGAATGATGAAATAGAATTAAATCCTAAAACAAGTATATTTGACATTTTAGTTAATCTTTCCTTATCAAGTGTAAATGTGTGTGTGTGGGGGGGGTGTGTACATGTGTATGCACATGTATCTTAATTGATAAAATCTTACTTCTGTTTTTGCTTCAGAGACCTATGCTCCAGGCCATAGAGTATTATATCATATATATCTGTCTCCTGTATAGTCAAACTGAAATGGATTTCATTCATTACACAGTTAACAGGGTAGATCTCATTTTACTATATGCAGCAATGTTGTTACTTCCTAGAAGATTCAGTCCTATGAATTATGACAATGCTACTAATTCATTTTGAATTATAATGTGAAATACTGTATTGCGTGCTTTCCCCAATACTCTATTTAGAAGTCAGTATTTTGTATGATATCTATCTACAGTAGGTTTTTTAAAAAATCAAAACAAAAACAAAACTAGAATTTTTAACTTTAATGATTTAATTTAATGTATTTATGAATTTTAGATGAATAGGGAGTTTTAAAGACTTTATTTATTTATTCATAGACACAGAGAGAGAGGGGCAGAGACTCAGGCAGAGGGAGAAGCAGGCTCCATGCAGGGAGCCCGATGTGGGACTCGATCCCGGGTCTCAAGGACCACACCCCAGGCTGCAGGCAGCGCCAAACTGCTGCGCCACCGGGGCTTCCCAATAGGGAGTTTTTTAAATTTAGAGTCATTTCTTTGAAACTGGAAGGCTTTGTCACTGTTGGCATATGTAAGAGTAAACCTAGTTTTGATGGCTTACAGCTAGGTTGGAAAGGGTAGGGTGTTGGTAAAAAAAAGTACTAAGGAAAAGATAGATAACTTACAGACTTAACTGTGAGTTACTTAAGATAAACAAAAGCCAGATAATGTAGTATTCACAAAATATTGGCCTTCAAGATAGTTTTAGATTACTTGCTTTTTGTATACCTACAGCATTTTATAAATATACTTATTATAGTATTTGTCACATTAAATTATAAGTGTTTACAGATCGCCTCAAAACCTCTTCCCCCTCAGTTTCACCATGCTTTAATTGTTAGACTGAGGAAAAGTTTCTATGGCAAAATTTGATTATTTCCCATTCTGAATCACCATACTACAGTTTATATCCCTTTTTTATACCATCATCCAGAAAATATGTAACAACAAATGATAATAGAGACCAAGAAACCTAAACCCTTTTCTAATACTCATTTAGTTAAGCCTACCTTTTATTGCATTCAGATACATTTGAACTGTTTCTTCGTGTATAATTTTTCTGTGATTTGTAGGTATGAGATAAGGTTATAATTTGCTTTATATAAATGAAAACCCGTTGAAAAGTAGAAAATATTCTGTATGCTATTACATTTGAGTTGCATTTTGTAAAGGTTTGTTTTTACTAGTAATAGTCTCATATACATGCCTTCAGTGCTTGTTAAACCAGGTTTTTATCCAGAGTTATGTGTATCTTCCATGGTTTCTTGCACTAATAACGTAGATATGAAAACTTCTTTATATATTACAGATCTATAAGAACAAAAGAATAGATGTTGAGGGGCACCAGGGTGGCTCAGTGGTTGTGATTCCGGGGTCCTGAGATCGAGTCCTGCATCAGGCTCCCCACAGGAAGCCTGTCTCTCCCTCTACCTATGTCTCTGCCTCTCTCTGTGTCTCTCATGAATGAATAAATAAAATCTTTAAAAAAAAAAAAGATATTGAATACATTTTGGAGGTTTAATAAATGTGAATATGGAACATAGATTAAATCTTAATCCTACTGAATGCTTACCTCCTTTCTTCTAACTCAGGATGCACTCAGGAAATACAGACAGGAAAATTTGCTGCAAAAATTAACATTTAAAACTTTTGAAAACCTCATTTTCTTAGCTCAGGATGCTATAATAAAATACCATAGACCAGTGGCTTCAACAACAGGCATTTATTTCTCACAATTGTAGAGGCTAAGACATCTGAGATCAGGGTGCCAGCATAGTTAGGTTTTGGTGAGGGTCCTCTTGCTGGCGTGGAGATGGCTGCGTTCTTGCTTTATCTTTCCATGGCAGAAAGATTCAAGCTCTCGGGTCTCTTCTATTACCAGAGCACTAATTCCATGATGGGGCTTCACCATAATGACCTCATCTAAATCTAATTACCTCCCAAAGGCCCATCTAATACTATCATCACCTTGGGGGTTAGGGCTTCAATGTACAAATTTTGACAGAGACAAAAATACTCAGTCCATAACAAATATGAATTATTCTTTGTTTTCTAACATAGGTTATTGGTATTATTGTTCTGGATTTAATGCAGAAAGTAGGAATTAAATATATAGGAATATAAGCTGAAATTATAGAAAACTCAGGATTCTGAATTCTGATTCCTCTTGCCAGGATGATTTTGTTCATTTATTGAACAGATAATTATTAAATAGTTAATATGTTCAAGGTACTCTTACACATACTTAATATGAATCAGTGAACAAAATCCTTGTTCTTAGGAATTTACATTCTAACTACTAAAATATGTCATTATGATATATAGTATATATGACATATATAACATATACATTATCTAACATGTTACTGTATTCACTGAAACCTGTGATCAGTTGCAAATAAAAACTTGATATATCGAGGATTGTCATATTAAATTGTTTTAAATGTAGAGCCAAAAATGTCCCACAGAATATAGTATCATTTGGAGTTACCAGTTTTAACTTTAGAAGAACTTTAAACTAAAATGTTAGTAGTCTGTGAACTGTATAAATTAATTCTGGCTTGTAATAGAAAAAGTTTACTGGGAGAAGCAAGGTATAATCTAGAGATCTGGGCTCTGGTGCTGATATTAACTATGTCGGTGATGTTCAGTAACTGTTTATGTGTTTGTAGTCCCTTCTATAGAATAAATAATGGTAGTCAATATACATGACAACTATTTCCTGAACTCCTGCCATACATCCCAGGCATTGTGCCAGACATCTGATATATAATTCATCCATCCGACCACTCAATGAAAAGGTTAATATTTTCCCCCATTTTCACATGGGAAGACTGAGCCACAGAGTGCTCAGGTCATTAGCAGAGCTGGAATATAGAGCTTGGGCTCTCAAGACTCCAAAGCCCATGGCTTTAACCACTGTGTAGTAGTAGTGTTTCCCAAATAAATTGTCTTTAAGGTCTCAACAAGCTCTAAAATCATGTAAAATAGGGACATCTGGGTGGTTCAGTGGTTAAGCGCCTTCCTTCAGCCCAGGGTGTGATCCTGGACTTCTGGGATCCAGTCCCACATTAGGCTCCCTGCATAGAACCTGCTTCCCTCTCTGCCCATGTCTCTGCCTCTCTCTGTCTCTCATGAATAAATAAATAAAAGTCTTTTAAATAAATAAAATTTTTAAAAAATTGTATAAAATAATCCTATTGAGGATACGTGATATATATTAATCTTGAATCATTGAAATATCTTGCTGATCATTTCAGATATATTATTATAAAATTAGCTTTAATCCCCTGTACTTAGTTAAGGTTCATATGTGGCTGTATTAATTCTAATGTTCAGTTGTGCATATTTTCAAACATCTATGGTAAAATAAGATGATGTTTTATATTTTAAACTGTTTCTCTCCCTGTCCCTCTTTTTTTATAGCTACCTATACTACAGAAATATGGAATAACCCATATAATATGCATAAGACAAAATATTGAAGCAAACTTTGTTAAACCAAACTTTCAACAATTATTTAGGTAAGAATTATTGCTGTGATTTATTAATAAAATGTATGGGCAGCAAACATGTAATGTAGTTTTTATTTCAAGTTGATTTTATTACGGCAAACTTCTCTGTCTTATAAGGATGGTCATGTATCATTTAAAAAATAAGTTTCCTGGGCAGCCCTGGTGGCTCAGCGGTTTGGCACCACCTTCAGCCCAGGGTGCATGATCCTGGAGACCCGGGGTTGGGTCCCACGTCAGGCTCCCTGCATAGAGCCTGCTTCTCCCTCGGCCTGTGTCTTCGCCTCTCTCTCTGTGTCTCTCATGAATAAATAAATAAAATCTTAAAAAAAAAAAGTTTCCTTTAAAATTTTAAGCAAGTAATACATATAATGCAGAATTTTAAAGATTAAAAAGCATGTATAATATACCGAAAAATTTCCCTATTTCTGTCCCTTATATACTCAGTTCCTCTCTCTAGAGGGATCCACTCTTATTTTTGAGTGGCACCCAGGGTTATATTATATATATACAAGCATATTTCTGTAGATAAACTTTTATTTTTTCACCCTTGCTTTAAAAAGTTTTTAAAATATATTTTAGAGATCACTTCATATCATTACTTAGCTGTATTGTTTTTTTAAACTTGCATGGGGGATGCCTGAATGGTTTAGCAGTTGAGCATCTGCCTTCGGCTCAGGCTATGATCCTGGGACCCGGGGTCAAGTCCCACATCAGGCTCCCTTAAGGGAGCCTGCTTCTCCCTCTGCCTGTGTCTCTCATGAATAAATAAATAAAATCTTTAAAAAAAATTAACTTGCATTATAATCCATTATATAGCTATACTAAAATTTATTCAGCCTGTCTTCTGTTGGGCATTTAGATTGTTTCCAGTCTTTGCTAATATATTGGGTATTCATCTACATGTCATTTAATTCATGTGTGAATATATCAGTTGGATAAATTTGTAGAAGTGGAATTGCTGGAACAAAGAATATGAGCATCTAAAATTTTAATTGATGTTGTAGATTGCCCTCCAGTGAGTTCTATCAGTTTACATTCCCACTCTAAAGTAGATGAGAGAGACTTTCCTTGGTATCTCTCCAAGACAGAATTATTAAGCATTTTTAATTTTTCCCAATTTTCTAAGGTAAAAGTGATGTCTCATGTAGTTCTGATTTGCGTTTCTCATTATAATGAGTGTGGTTGAGCATTTAATGGTTTTTAATGCTATTTTAATTCTATTTTAAAAATAAAGCATATGTATTACACGATACAAAAAAAAGAAAAGGTGAAAAAAAGGTGTATAAATAAAGTAAGTCTCTTCCCTCCTCTAAACCCAGCCATCTGGCTTCCCTCCTGGGAGGTAGCTATTGTTAACCCTTAAAATATCATCATAGAGATATTCTGTGTGTTTAAAGTGCTGCTTTATTAAAATTTGTAAAAATGAAAGCAACCTGAGTGTTCATCAGTACAACATACTCTAAAATATTTTGTGTAAATGTATAATAGAAGACTGTAACCCTGAAAAAGAATGAAATATTTCTATGTATGTTGATTTGGAATAATCACTAAGATTTATTCAATTAAAAAAACAAGGTGTACAACCCAGTGTATACTCTGTGTTTAAAAATATATACAATATGTTAGGCATATATTCTTGTTTATGTGTAGAAAATTTCTAGTCTAAAAGACCAGAAATCTGGTGATTGCTTCTGAGAAGGAAAATTCAGGGTCTGGGATGCTAGAGGGGCATATTTTTTACTGCAAATATTTTTATACTGCTAGAATTTTTTACCATGTGTATACATTTTTCAGTTAATAGAAACTTACTTTAAAAAAGGAGTATCTAGGGCAGCCCTGGTGGCTCAGCAGTTTAGCGCCACCTTCAGCCCAGGGCCTGATCCCTGGAGTCCCAAGTCGGGCTCCCTGCATGGGGCCTGCTGTGCCTCTTTCTCTCTGTGTGTCTCTCATAAATAAATAAATAAAATCTTTAAAAAAAAAAAAAAAAGAATATCCAGGGGCACGTGGATTAAGTATCTGCCTTCAGCTCAGGTCATAATCCTGGAGTCCCAGGATAGAGCCCCATATTGGGCTCTCTGCTCAGCAGTCTGCTTCTCCCTCTGCCCCCCTCCTCCACTTGTGTACTGTCTCTTGCTTGCTCACTCTTAAATAAAATATTTAAAACAAACAAGGAATGTCTGCATTCTAAAATTAGATTTAATTTTTTTCTAATTATAAAAGACCTCCATATTCTTTATAGATATTTTAGAAAATACAGATTGATGCCAAGAAAAATATAAAATCATTCCACAACCAAGAGGAAACACTTTAGTTAACATTTTGGCATATTCGTTTTAAATCTTAACCCTATTATACATGTGTATTATATCTACACTCATATAGACTGAACATATATTAAAAATAATGCCATATTTTAAATGGCTATACTAGACATTTCTAATTTATATAGTTTTTGTTTTTAGTATCAAAATGTCCTAGGTACAGCTTTTTTTTTTTTTTTCCTTTTTAAAAATCTATTTATTCATGAGAGACAGAGAGAGAGGCAGAGACATAGGCAGAGGGAGAAGCAGGTTCCTCACAGGGAGCCTGAAGCAGGACTCAATCCCAGATCCCAGGATCAAGCCTTAAGCTGAAGGCAGATGCTTAACTGCTTAGCCACCCAGGCATCCCACAGCTTTTTTATCCTAGTGGAAAAACCCTTTGTCCTTAGGTTCAGAATATTGAATTATAGACTGATAATTTTCCTAATAGTTTTGTTTTTGTTTTTTAAAAGATATTATTTTATCTTTTTATAAATATTTTATTTATTCAGGAGAGACATAGAAGGCAGAGACATAAGCAGAGGGAGAAGCAGGCTCCAGGCAAAGAGCCCGAAAAGATTTTATTTTTAAGTAATTTGTATACCCAACGTCGAGCTCAAACTCACAACCCTGAGATCAAGATCTGAGCTGAGGGATGCCTGGGTGGCTCAGTGGTTGAGTGTCTGCCTTTGGCTCAGGTTGTGATCCTGGGGTCCAGGGATTGAGTCCCTTATCGGGCTTCCTGCAGGGAGCCTGCTTCTCCCTCTGCCTATGTCTCTGCCTCTCTCTGTGTGTCTCATGAATAAATAAAAATAAGATTTTTAAAAAAGGGACACCTGGGTGGCTCAGTAGTTGGGCGTCTGCCTTTGGCTCAGGGCATGATCCCGGGATGCTGGATCGAGCCCCACATTGGGCTCCTTGTGGGGAGCCTGCTTCTTCATCTGCCTGTGTTTCTGCCTCTCTCTCTCTGTGTCTCATAAATAAATAAATAAATAAATAAATAAATAAATAAATAAATAAATAAATAAATAAATAAAATGTTTAAAAAAAATCTTAAAAAAAAAGATCTGAGCTGAGATTAAGAGTTGGATGCTTGACTGACTAAGCCACCCAGGCTTTCCAACTGCTAACAGTTTTTAATATTCAACATGACATGTAGTAGAATATTTTAAGAATGACTCTGAATTAACTTTTTTTTCCTGTAATTTAGCCTACATAATCACTTTAGGAAACAGTCATTGTCAGAATCCTTTTGGGTTTTACATTGGATTGTCCTTGGATACTGAGTTTCAGCTTCTCTGTGATAAGCTCTGAATTTATTGAAGTTGTGACAACCTAAATGATTGCTTTAGTACTTAAATGATCACTAAAGAACTGTAATTTTTAAGGCAATATTGACTTTAAGAATTAATTTTGAAACTTAGTTAAATATTATAGTTGTATTACTAAACTGGTGGTCTAGGTAAGTTAGGGAAGTTTTTCACAAAATAAAATAAGCCTAGCATATTAATGATGTCTTCTTATTGGTGTTTTCCAAAAAACTACAAAATTGTAGGACAAGTGGTTTTTTAGTGGGCTTTGCTCTACTGAAGGTTAGTTCAAGCAATGGATGTTTGACTCATGGCTCCCTTAGACTTCTATTTTACTTACCTTCTTCTCTTTCAGAGAAAGGGGTTGTGCTTCCTCGGAATTGTCCTCAGTGGCATTGTGAGGAGGGGTCACAGGGCTACTCAAAGAAGAATCTTCTAGTCTATGGGGAAGTTAGTAGAAATAGAGTAACAATAAAGAATACAAACAGTTTTTGTCTTTTTATTCCAGGTCCACTCTGATCTAGAGGAAAGTTTTCTCCCTGTCATTTTTCAATTTTAACCAGATAGATTTTTTTTATGTAAAAATATCAGAAATGTTAACTTATTTAAGGCTTTAAATGCTATGCGTTTAAGCAGTATACAAACTATGACCAAGGTCTTGGGAATATGATGCTTTGAAAGTTGTTTCACATTATTTTCATGGTTGTCAACAAATTTTGAAGTTTTTTGTGTGTAGAGTTTTGTCTGAAAGTGTGCTTATCACAGAATATTCTATTTTCAGATATTTAGTCTTGGACATTGCAGATAATCCAGTTGAAAATATAATACGTTATTTTCCCATGGTAAGTATCAAATATTTTATTATCACTTATAATTTATGATTTGTCTCAATTATGGTTCTAAAAATTTGTAATAGTTGCATTTGTAGCCTTTTGGAAATTCTTGAATTAAGGCAATATTAATTTGAGTCATCAGTAAATTTTTTCAATATATTTTGTTTTACTCTATGTATTTTATGCTTATGCTAATCCACTTTTTCTTAAAACACACTGTCTTGCCTTCAGACTAAAGAATTTATTGATGGAAGCTTACAAACTGGAGGTAAGTAATATTTTCTTAGTGTTCATTTTTAGATTATGTGTCATAGTTAATTTTTTAGTTAACATTTGTCTTAAGTGCAGTATATGGAGGTTGCAATTGTATGTAATATACTATTCCCAAATTTGTATTTTCCCAACTCCTTGTTTCATTTGGATAGGCTTTCTTAAATATCCCTATAAGTATTTTCGAATTTTTGAGTCAGCTTTGAATCCCTTGAATTTCAAAGTTAAATTGTAAAGTTCGAAAGTTAAATAAATATCCAAGTGATTTGTATAAGATATAAAATGTTTAAGAAAAATTTATCTTACTATCTTATTTATCTTATTAGTATTATTTTAGTTGCTGAGTTAGATGTTTTTTTGTGAGAATAACTATTTCTTATTTTTCAGGAAAAGTTCTTGTCCATGGAAATGCAGGGATCTCCAGGAGGTATGAAGTTAAAGATTATTTTTCTTTCTCTAGCATTTAATTAATGAGCTCTGTTTTCTATTTTTTTTTCTAAAAATTTTTCCCCCCTCTTCAGTGCTGCCTTTGTTATTGCGTACATTATGGAAACATTTGGAATGAAGTACAGGTAAGAAAGTACTCTGAAACATAGCCATGTTTAAATTCTCATTAAAATGAAGCTTAATTGAAAGTTTGGGAATTTGCAATTGATATCCTGATTTTGTTATCTATTTATGTTGATTAGTCAGGCTCTTGTATCCCACGATTAATTAGCCTCTTAACCTTTGTAGCTTGTCCACCTTGTATATATCTACTTAGGCTAACATTTTGTGGTTTTGGGGAGTTAGTGCTAACTGTTGTTAAGAAGCCAAGGTAGTTATATTTGGAAATAATTATGGAAAATTGTTTGCTGCTAGAGAATTGTGTAGTCCTAGTTTAAAACTTAGATGCAGATATTATTTCTTCCCTTGCTTAAAAGGCTAATTTATTATGTTTTCCTTTAATGGCAATTGGATAAAAAATTACCTAGAAATTGTTTCAGGTTTTTTCACAATTCAATGTAGTCTTTCTTTTTTTTTTTTTTTTTTTTAATTTTTTATTTATTTATGATAGTCACAGAGAGAGAGAGAGAGGCAGAGACACAGGCAGAGGGAGAAGCAGGCTCCATGCACCGGGAGCCCGATGTGGGATTTGATCCCGGGTCTCCAGGATCGCGCCCTGGGCCAAAGGCAGGCGCCAAACCGCTGCGCCACCCAGGGATCCCCAATGTAGTCTTTCTTAACCAAAATCAGCTTTTCCAAGCGTATTGCCTAGATAAAAAAGAGAGCCCTGAAATAAATGCCTGACCATTGTACATTGTTTCCTTTTTTTTTAAGTGTGTCTTGTACAAGTTAGAAATCTTGTAATCATTGGCAGTTCCTTGTCTTTCACTCCCCATCTTCCAAATTTATCATTACTAATCCTCTTTTGCATCCTAAAATATACCTTGAATCTGTCTCTTATCTCTCTCTTTATCATCATTTAATCCCCTAATCGAAGCTCCAGTCACGTCTCTCTTGGGCTTTAACAAGGTAGTCTTCTTAGTGGTTTCATGTATTCTCTCCTTCTCCAGTGTTTTTTCCCCCCATGCTACAGTCAGAATGATCTTTTCAAAAGATAAATCTGATCAAATAATCACCTTATCCCAAAAAGCTTTCAGAGGTTTCTGATCCTTAATCTTATCATGGCCAGTGAAACTTTGCATGATGTGCCTGTATCAACCTTTACATCATTATACCATTTTCCCTGTTCCTCTCATTTGAGCTGTATTCAGCATTGGATCAATATTCCTGGCACACAGTATACACTCAAATGTTTGTTTAGTTTGTTTGGTATCCTTTTAGTTTAGATTTTGATGGAAGGTTGGCTTAAAAGTATCAGTTAATATTATTTGAATACAAATGCTTTATTTAATTGAAAAAGATTAGTGCTCGGTAGACTATGTTTATATTTTCTCTTTATTATTTGGTGTCTTGATAGTAATAGTGAAAATAGCTTCCACATATCGGGTCTTTGCTATGTGCTAGGTATTATTCTAAGCTCTTTTATCTCATTTAAGTTTTACAACAAAACAAGGAAGTAGATATACTTTTCCTTGTCTAACAATGATAATATTTTGAGCACATACTATGTAATAGATGCCATATAAGGTGCTGTAAACCTATTATCATGCATCTCACAATAGCCCTCCAAGGTAGGAATTTTTATAATCCTCAATTTACAAATAAGAAAAAGCTTAGAAAGTTCAGCAGTTTCCCTTAGAATACAAGCTGGTAAACAGAGGGATGGTGATATTTCATCTGCCCTTGCTGTTGATTTTTCTACTACAACTCACTACCTCTCTGTAGTATAAGCTTTATGATTATGATTTCCTGCTTAGGTAAATTTTTGGGTAAGTTCCTATTTTAGGTAAATTCTGAAAATTGAGATTAATTCATGAAATAATACCATCACCTTAGTTTTCTTTTTTTGTTTTCAGAGATGCATTTGCTTATGTTCAAGAAAGAAGATTTTGTATTAATCCTAATGCTGGATTTGTCCATCAACTTCAGGTAACTTCTCTCTTTCTCCTCTTTAAAGTAATCAGAAAGTAGTGTAATTAAAATCTTACGTCCATGTAATTTAAGTGTAGAATTTATTTTTTTATTTTTAAAATTTTATTTATTTTTTAAAGAGTTTGTTTATTTGAGAAGAGAGAGATAGTGAGAGCATGAGTAGGGGATGGGGAGAGGGAGAAGCAGGCTCTCTGCTGAGCAGGGAGCCCACTCGAGGCTGGATCCCAGAACCCTGAGATAATGACCTGAGCCTAAGGCAGACACTTAACTGACTGAGCCACTCAGGCGTCCCTAGAGTTTTCTTTAAATATTAAAAAATTACCATAGTCAGGGGCTCCTGGGTGGCTCATCCGGTTGAGTATCTGACTCTTGGTTTCAGCTCAGGTCGTCATCTTGGGGTCGTGAGATCAAGCCCCATGTCAGGCTCCATGCTCAGCGTAGAGTCTGCTTGAGATTCTCTCTCCCTCTCCCTCTGTCCCTCCCAATCATGCTCTCTTTCTCTCTCTCTCTCTCAAATAAAGAAATAATCTTTTAAAAAAATGACCATAGTCAAATTTTATTTATTTTTCCTTTTAAGTAATCTCCACACCCAATATGGAGCTCAGATTCATGACCCTGAGATCAAGAGTCTCATACTTCTCCAACTGAGCCAGTCAGGCAACCCCTAATTTGATTTTTTTATTCAAGTTCACATTTCCAGCTAAAGGTATTTTCTTTCTTTTTCTTAAAAGCTGCCATTACTGTGACAAAAGGGTTAAAGGCATATCGTTAAATGTAAGAGAAAATAATTGATGTTAGAAATTTTTCAGTCTTTTCTTTTTTGATTACACAGATAAGAATATTGACTCTAAGTATACTATATGTAGCAGCGTTTATAATCTATTTTATATGTGTTTCCTTTCCATGTTTCAAATTCTATTGGCGCCTAGAAGATGCACTAAAAAGACAGTAAGATATACCTGTGAAGTATCTGTTTAAACTAAGTTTATTTAATTTTTTCCAAGAACGAAAATCAGATTGAAGAATGTCCTCCGGCTGATTCTATCCAGTTATGCAGGAATAAATCTCACATTGAGAGACATCAAGAGCATTAGAAAATGGACTGTCTTAGGGGTACCTGGGTGGCTCATTTGGTTAAGTATCTACCTTTGGCTCAGGTCATGATCTTGGGGTCCTGGGATCAAGCCCCACATTGGGCTCCCTGATCAGTGGGGAGTCCACTTCTCCCTCTCCCTCTCCCCCTTCCCTACTTGTGCTCACTTTCTCAAATAAATAAAACCCTTAAAAAAAATTAATGAAATGGATTGTCTCAGTTACCAAACTACAGGATTTTTTGTTTTGTTTTGTTTTTAGTTTTTATTAGTTTTTACTTCATTTAAAACAGAAAGTGATATGTCTGACTTTAGCATGTTTATGTAATAAAATGTTTTTGTTCCTTTTTAATTGTGTTATGTAAAACTAGAATTTATAAGTTTCTTTGCCTTTTAACCCTGTTGTTTAAAAACATTGTCTTTTAAAATTGATTTTTGTATTTGAAAAAGTAACATATACACATTTAAAAAATACAGTATATATACAAGTCTAACTGCATAATATACTTAATTGCATGTGTATATATGCATACATATATATGCATCACAACTTCATATATTGATTCCTCATACATAAACCTTTTACTTTATTTATTTTTTTAAAGATTTTATTTTTTTATTCATGAGAGACACAGAGAGAGAGAGAGGCAGAGACACAGGCAGAGGGAGAAGCAGGCTCCATGCAGGGAGCCTGATGTGGGTCATGCCTCGGGCCGAAGGCAGGCGCTTAAACCACTGAGCCACCCAGGGATCCCACATAAACCTTTTAGATAGTCTCTAGCCTTTAATGATTTAACAATATTGGGGAAAATAAACTAGTAGGTACATTTTGTTTACATGTGCAAATACACCTGTAAGATAAATATGTAAAGTGGAATTGCAAGGTAAGGGGTATTTGAAATTGATGTTACCAAATAGTCTTTCTAAAGGCTGAAATAGTGTAAGACCCCCAGGAAACAGTATCTCTTTCCTAGTAGTTCCCATGCAGTACCAATAGCCAAAAGTATTTTAACAGATTTTCTGATCATTGTCATCATGGTGGTGAAAGTGGTGACTCCTTTGGTTTGTTCATTCTTCTATCAGATTTTTATGTTTTTCTCATTGGTTTATAAGAGCTCTTTCTATATTAAGGAATGTCTTTAGCCAACTGGTTTGAAGTGTCATTTTTATTATATACCAAACTCTGATCTATACTTGGGTCTGTTTCTGGACTTTGAATTCTGTTCCATTGCTCTGCTTAATGCTGCAACTGTATCCAACCATTTTAAGTACTGTGATATTATAGAACTAACTTATGGCATAGCTCAAGATTCCCTCATTAATGTTCTTTCTAGAATTTTCCTGGCAAGTTCTTAGCATTTATTTTTTGGTGTGAACTTTACTGGAAAGAGCCCTATATTTTTTAAATTGCTACTATATTCACAGTTCAAAAAGAATTGACACCTTTACATTTTTAGTCTTCCTCTCCAAGATTCCATTTATTCAAATCAGTTTCTGTGTCCTTTTGTGTTTTAAAGTTTTCTTTGTGTAGAACATATTTATTTCTTATGAAATTTACAGTATCCTGTATTCAGCAGAATATACTCAGCTCTGTAGGCAGAATCTTATTATGAGAAGTTATTCCTCTACTTAAAAGACAAAGGCCTTATTTACAGTGGTTTATACATCCCTACGTTATGTAGTCCCTTACCTCTCTATTCTGATCTCCTCCTATCCATTTCATACTATATATACTCAGGTCACACTGACCTTCTTGTAATTACTTGAAAATACTATGCATGTTCTCATCTCAAGGCACTTGCCTGTATCTCTTCACATCTAGAATGCGTTTCTCCAAATATCTGCATGACTTGTTTCCTTAATTTTCTTTTGACTGTATTGCTGCAATAGCTTCCTAACAGGTATACCCACCTCTACCCTTACCCCTCAATCCCTACAAGTCAAAAGAAAATACTAGTTTGGACCAAAATGGTAGGGGAAGAGGTGAGAAGAGGGCACATTTTGGATTTGACTGTATAGCTGACAGGATTTGCTGATGGATTGGATATGAAGAGAGGAGATTAGAATGAATCTAGTCCTCTATGGAAGATGTGGAAGAAACTGCATGAGAAGGTTTACAGGGAGTAAAATCAAGGTCAGTTTTGGTCAGATTAGAGGGCTGTTAGACAGTAGGCAGTTTTATAAATTCACAGTTTATGGGGAAGAACCATATATTTAAGGAATATCAGTATGTAGATGCTATTGAAAGCCCTGAAACTGAGTGAGATCACTAGGGGAGTGTGGATAGAGAAGAATTTCCAAAACAGATCCTAACACACTCCAACATATAGAGGGTGGGGAGATGAGGAATTCATAGAAGAGATGAAAAAGAATGGCCAGTGAGATAGGAAAAAATCAGGGTCGCTTGTTGTTTGGGAAGTCAAGTGAAGAAAGTGTTTGAAGAAGTAGGGAATGGGAGTGCCTGGGTGGCTCAGTTGGTTAAGCGTCTGACTCTTGATTTCTGGTCATCTCATAATCTCACAGGTCATGAGATTGAGCCCTGTGTAAGGCTCTGCATTCAGTGGAGTCTGCTTGAGATTTTCTATCTCCCCTGCCCCCCTAAAATAAAATAAGCAAAATAAAATATCAATCTTTTTTTAAAATATCAAATCTTTAAAAAAAAAAGTGGGGAGGGAACCACTATTTCAAAAGCTGATAATATATAAGATACAGGCTGAGAATGGACATTCGGTTAGGAACATGAAGTCCTTGGTGTCCTTGACAAACAGGTTTTGTGGAAGGGGAAGGATAAACATTGCTCAGAGTTTAAGGGAAAATGGGAAGAGAGGAATGTAAATAGCAAGAATAGATGATTCTAGGAATTCTACTTTGAAGGGGAAAATGGAAAGGACAGTAGCTAAAGAGGAAACGGGTTACTAAGGAGGATTTTGTTTTCTAAAATGGTAGGAAATATGGCATGTTTGCTATTTGGAACAATCCAGGAGAAAAGAGAAAATTACTATTATGCTGGAATGGGATAGTGTGGTCTGTTCTCGTTGATTCTGTTATATTCATTATTTCTGTGGTTTTATTTTTTTCTCCCAAGTTCTGATAGTTGGGATATCATCTTTTTAATTGTTATATTTCTTCCATGAGTCCTTTTATTTCTTCTTTGAACTCACATCAGAAATGCCATATTCTCATTGATTTCATGGAGAATTAATCATTTTCATCTGCTTCATGGTGTGATTTTCATGCAATGCTCTTCATAGGACTTTTCACTATAATGTTGAAATAGTTTTTTTCCCCCTTGTGCCATCTTTATGCTAAAACCTGCAGTGGTTCCTTTTTGATTATTGGTGATCTTTGTACTGGAAGTATTCTTAGAACAGCTATTTGCCCAACAGTAAAGTTGTGGGAGAGGAACCTGGGTAGTGGTTGGGGAAAGCAAACAGCTTAAGTTTTCTCACTTGTCTTGGAAGACACCAACACTTTTTTCTGGTGGTTTAACTTAGTAAGAAGCAGAGCGCCCCTTATGTCACGGGTTTTTCTTGTTTGTATTGATAAACATGGCATGCACATTAAAGCCTTCCAGGGGAATCTAACTTAAAACAATTAAATGAGAATCACTTGGGGGTGGGATTTGAGCATATATGTATTGTAAAATTCTCAGGTAATCCTCAGGTACAGCCAGGCTTGGGAATTACTGTTTTAGTCTATTTTTAGCGAAGATCAGATACTTGGCTACATACAACTCAGTTTCTCTTCCATCTTACTATACATATACCTGCTTTTTGCAAAATGGCGTGAAATGTTGGCATTAACATTTTCCTCAGTATGCCCTACCTCATCCCCACAGCCCACTCATATTTCCTATCATACTCTACAAGGGCTTGTTTTATCTTAAAACTACCACCTTTGGGCAGCCCTGGTGGTACAGGGGTTTGGCGCTGCCTGCAGCCTGGGGTGTGATCCTGGAGACCTTGAGTCCCACGTCGGGCTCCCTGCAAGGAGCCTGCTTCTCCCTCTGCCTGTGTCTCTGCCTCTCTCTCTCTCTCTGGGTCTCTATGAATAAATAAATAAATAAAATCTTAAAAAAGAAAAAAAAAGAACCACCACCTTTTTTGGGAGCACTTTAAAGTGTACCCATTCTGCCTGATTTCTGGAGTCTGGCATCTTGTGTGCCTAGCTTGGTCTGGTTCCATTTAAAAAATAAGTTTTTTTTTGTGAAATATAATACACATACAGAAAATGCATAAAATGTAAATAAACATCCATGTAAATACCATCAGGTCAAGAAATTGAACATACACCAGGACCCCTTGTATTACAACCCGTTTCCAACCACTAACACTCTTTCTCCTTTTGTAAAGGTAACCTCTATTCTGACCTATTTGGTAATCCGTTCTTTATTTTTCATTCTTCTCATATTCAGGGTTATGGATGTTTCCTACTTTGATCAAATAAGGAGATCTCTATTTCTTGTTTTCTTGAAGGGGAGAGGGATAGAAGTGCTTTTATTCTTCCATCTTTGGAAGTAGAGGACTATTAAATTTAAGGAATTAGAAAATCAAATATATATTTGAATCCATTAAGTGGCTTATTACTCTAATTTTTAAAATATTTTACAACTGTATAACATTTTATCTTTATTGAACTTCATTTTATTTTTATCATTTTTTGGGTTTGGGGGATGTGTGTGTGTGTGTGTGTGTTTTAACAGAGGAAGTTAGAGATCATATAGCTAAGACCCAGTGGCAGAAAACAGATAACTGCCTGACTAGCAGTTCAGTGTATGATACCCTAGTGCAAGTTGTTAATGTGGCTTGATTTATAGTTTTGTCAGTAAATGTGAAAATATGAGATAGGAATTTTATTTTAATTTTTTTATGATAGGAATTTTAAACTTGCATTTATTTCTCTTTTAAAAATATGTATTTGGGCAGCCCCGGTGGCTCAGTGGTTTAGTCCCACCCTCAGCCCTGGTCGTGATCCTGGAGACCCGGGATCGAGTCCCACATGGGGCTCCTTGCATGGAGCCTGCTTCTCCCTCTGCCTGTGTCTCTGTCTCTCTTTCTCGCTCTCTCTCTCTGTTTCTCATGAATAAATAAAGTCTATAAATAAATAAATAAATAAATAAATAAATAAATAAATAAATAAATAAATAAGTTTCTCATGAATAAAGTCTTTAAATAAATAAAATATGTATTTATTAGAGAGAGAGTGCATGGCAAGAGTGTTGGGGGGTGGGACAAGCAGATTCTGCACGTGTGTGGAGCCTGACGTGGGGCTCCATTCCACAACCCTGAGATCATGACCTTATCTGAAACCAAGAGTCAGCCACTTAACATACTGAGCCACCCAGGCATCCCTAAACTCTTTCAACAGTATGGCACCAAATTTTTCAGTATAAACTAAGAATACAAATAATGTACACATTAATCACTGTTTTGGGTACCCACGAATTTAAATGTATATTCAAGTTAATTAAATCTTTTTTAGGAATATGAAGCCATCTATCTAGCAAAATTAACAATACAGATGATGTCACCACTGCAGATAGAAAGGTCGTTATCTGTTCATTCTGGACCTACAGGTAAGGATTTTTGTATTTTAGAGAGGGTTGGGGAGAAGGATGATGGTATGAAGGGTAGAAAGCATCTTTTGCTCTTTATAAGTTATACTGAACAATCTAAATTGTTTAGAAAACTTTGGGGAGACTTAATTGGATTCACATAATATAATTGCAAATTTTAATTTTATAATGTATCCATGTGTATTATATTGAGTTTCTGCTGTGTGTATACCATTGTACCTGGTTAATAGAATATGCTGGCTGGAAGATCAAACTTCTACTTAAGTCTTTAAATAGTATAACTGCTATAAAGATTAAAATAATAAGAGGGATCTGGAGAAGGGGCTCTAAGTACACTCAGGTGATCTTATTAAAAATAAAAGGTGATTAATAAATGAAAGGATTTTTCAGGTTAAGTAGGTTGACTACTATGAGCTACTCCAATTTTTCTCTTGTAATTAGTATTTCAATCCCTTCTCCTTTTCTTCCTTATGCTTGTCAGAGCACTCCTTCCCCTATTTTCAAAGTTAATGATCCAAGCATGCTTTCAAAATCTTTTAACTTCTGTCTTCTTTTCTAAGACCTTGCTACCTTTGTTTATCTCTTTTTTACTCAGTCTCATTCTATTTCAGGTCAATATTGGCCTCCCATCCAAACTCTCACTTGGTCTATTCTATACATTGTGGCCAGATTTATTTTTACAAAAGATAGTTCTGATGTATTTTTCCTGTACAAAAGCCTTCACTGGGTTAAATCCTTCAGAAGAAAACCTAGAGTTAATAGTAAGTAAGGTGCTTCTGGATCTTGGTATCTCTCAGTGTTCCTCTTTATATAGGCACTCCAGAAAGCCAGACTACTTGATGGTTTCATTTTGTCTCTTTTCTCCTCCTAGAATGCACATTCAGTCTTTCTACCCTTTAAAACTTAGTTCATGTTATATCTGCTCAAGAGAAATGATGATTAACTTCATCTTCCTCCAATCCCTGGTTATTCGGAACTCCTATAGAGCTTTATTTATACCTCCTCACTTTCTACTTTGCATTAATTATTTATGCCTCTTATCTCTTTTAGAATGCAAGTACAGCACTGTATCTGAAATTTAGCTATAGCAGCCGTATTATCTGCTGCAAGCCATCCTTTCTCCCAGCTCTAGACCTGTTGGTAATAAAACCACAGCTTTCAATGGAAAAATTTTCAGCACTGTCTATGAAAGCAAAAAAGATAATCTACAAAATAAAATTGTACAATGTAAAATTAATCTCTTATATTTTATGTTCTAAGTCATAGGCTCTGGTGCTTAAATGTAACCAAACATTTAAGTACCATTATTTCCTTTAAAATTCTATTTTAGGGGTGCCTGGGTGACTCAATTGATTAAATGTCTGCCTTTGGCTCAGGTCATGATCCCAGTGTCCTGGGATGGAGTCCCACATTAGGCTCCTTGCTCTGTAGGGAGTCTGCTTCTCACTTTCCCTGCCGCTCCCTCTTTGTGGGCTTGCTTGCTCTCTGTCATTTGATATTGTCATTTTATATAATCTTTAAAATATATATATTTTTCCAAACTATTTTAAAAATGATTATTAGTAATACTAAGACATAATTATAGTAATACCTAAGACATAATTAATTCTCACGAGGGGAAATGTATTCTGTCATGAAGATACAAAGTTGCTTAGTAATTTATAGCAAAAGGATTTGGTGACGTTTCCTAAAAATTCAGTCTTGGAATTCTCGTAGTGCATATACATGGTAACACTTTATGAAAATGAAATTTTACTAGCTCTAACATTCTCACAAATGAGTTCCTGTTATATTCATGCAATAATTTTTAGGCAGTTTGAAGAGAACACATGAAGAAGAAGAGGATTTTGGAAACATGCAAGTAGCGACTGCACAGAATGGCTGACTCAAGAGCAACATTATAGAGGATGTGAATTTCTATTTGGGAAGGAGAAAATACTAGAGTCAATAATAATGTAAAGTGGTAAAAACACAAGTCTTTTTTTTTTTTTTTTCCAATTTCATGTTGCTTCCAGGTGTGTTTCTCTGCAACTTGTTGAGCAACATTTTAAAAAGATGTTGGACTTCTGCAATAGATGGCACTGGTTTTACTCCTTTTTTTCTTTTCCTTTCCTTTTTCTTTTCTTTCTTTCTTTCTTTCTTTCTTTCTTTCTTTCTTTCTTTCTTTCTTTCTTTCTTTCTTTTTTCACTTTACAGTTTTATTATAAACAAGAATTTTGGACTTGCAAAGAGGTATTATTGCAATAATGCACTTTTCATACTTGAAATTTATTTGTATGATATAAAGTTATTACTTTAAACAAAATGCAATTTAGGGGGGATTTGTTTATAAAATCTGGGTAATTTATAACAAGAATTTCCTAAAGTTTGCTAAAAATTCATTTTGTGTTCTATATATTACATTTAAAAAATAATTTTACAGTTGAATTTTATGATGGAACCTCTTATGGAAACATTAACATGCAGGAATCTGCCACATTTTTGTTTTAGTATAACTCAATAGCTTCATTACCCTTTTATTTTTTTAAACTTAATCCATTATTAATCTTTGATTCATGACATTAGCTAACTCTTCTTACTTTAACATCCAAGTATTGCTTCCATTCGTCTTATCTTCCTAATTTGTTTATTCTATAGAAAAAAAAGTTTAATGAACAAAGGACGATGTTTTGCTTGGTAATACCAGATACTCAAAAAACAAGGAGTTTTAGACTTTCAAGTGACTTCCTTTTTTCCTTAAAAGCCAAATGTTGTTTGTTCCTTTTTAGAGTTGTTTAGCCCATTTTTCCTTTGTCCAAAATAGTTCTAAGTAGAATATATTAACTAATGTAGCACTATTTTTTTTTCTAAATGAAGCCCAAAAAAGAAAAGTGCCTTGCATCAATAAAGAAAATAAAAACAACAAAAAAACAAATCTTCATGACCTTTAAATTAGTATGTAGAACAGTACAAAGTTTAAACATTTTTCTGTAATTTCTTTTTTTAACTATAAATTGGTTAAGACAGAGTCTGAGGCTTAAAGAAACCTCAGTAAATTATTTGGAATATGGAACATTTTACTCCTTCATTTTATGTTGTTTTAATGATTCTATGAGGTTGTTCTGGCTCAGGCAGCAGCTTTTCTTTGAAGATGCATTTATTGGGGAAAGTGGTTTGTGGGAAACTTCACTGTATTTAGTGTTTTAATTCTTTACATTGAGTTAATCCAAATGTCCCCCATAATTTGCATTAACAAAGTCACTTTATGGATCCTTAATTCTCCATATTTTTATTTATACATATAACAATTGTTCTAAGAAAAACATTTTTTCTATTTTAAGTATGCCATGAGGGAGGAGAGGAGTGTTTTTAACTTTTTATAGTTGATTTAGGGTAGCACAAACAAAACTCCTTTATATCTCACTTTTCTCAGTCCTCTCTTGAGGTGCTTTTTTGAGGGGAATGATTTACATACATTCCCTTGGTACCAATAGGTACTATGCAAGGTAACCCATTACACCAAGTTACTTGCTTTGCTTTCCTCCCTACAATGTAATATAATACCATAAGAGCTTTTTTCAATCCAGCATAGCAGGAAAGTGGAAATTAAAATGGAGTCAATTCCTGTTGACCCAGATGGTATTCCTTTTCTGATTCCCTTCCTTTCCCCCATTTTACTATCCTGACAACAGCCTATTATTAATCCCATTGTGATCCTGTATTCTGTTGTGTGATTAGGTCATTTGGTGTGGTAGTTTAGTACAGTCAAGATTTGCATTGTGTTCAGAAATTCCACTTGGCAAAGTGCCAGATAACACAGCTTTCCTGTATGTAGATCACTATATAGGTCAGCAAAGATCTCTCTTGCAATCCAATAATCTATGATACTCCTTTATTCAGCAGCAACTCTGCTTAAAAGAATCTTCGTTATAGTACATTTAGGTTTTAAAATGAGGGAGTTAAGATTTTTAAAATTAGTTTCTTAAAGAGACATATCCTCTCTAGTACTTGGGCCAAAAATACAGATTTGGTCATTAATTTAAAGCTGGTAATTTTCCACTTTTTCTAACCACTGTAATTTTTATGTTGTCACTAAAGTGCCTGCCCAGCACTGTATATTAAAGACTGTCTCTTGAACACTAGGAAAAGGGACTATCATCTTCTTGAGTACAGTACTAATGGGGACAAAACATGAAGTTTATTCTTTCATGTAAGCACCCCAAGTTTGTTTTACCCTGGATCCATTTTTACACCTAATGTTCAACTAGTTCTAGCTCTTCTAGTCTTCTATTTGGTTCCATTTCTGGAATTCCGTTATTTCTGTGGATATTTTGTGATAATTACCTATAATACAATTAACCAATCATGATTTATTTTCTACAATATTTGAATAATGTATGAGTGTAGCACCCAATTTTAAATATGTAATCTGGGCAAGGATTTAAAACAAATTGCAGCAAAAACAGGAAAACTGCTTTACTGTCCACTTTAAAAGTATGAAGCAAATATTGAAAATATTCAAACTGGAATGGCAGTATTCTTACCTTATTCGTTTGTGTTAATTTCATACTCATTGGGTGTTTAAACAGCAGTTACGTTTATTTGTATCTACTCTAAGGTGGAAATGTTAAACTGGGATAGCTTCTGCTACCAACTCTCAACTGTTTGACTTTTAGAGCAGAATATTTGTTTTGGGGGGGAGGGATTTTGTGCTTCATCTGAGTTTAGAAGTAATGTCAGAAAATGTTAAGCATGTCCTTTTTAAGAAAATATAAGGTTTCTGTCTTATTACCATGGTAATTCAAGTGAATTAGAAATATTTAACTGCAATCTTGAATTATAAAGTTGGGGTGCACATATATATATATATATATATATACTTATATATAAGGATCTCAACTTGATGTAAAGTAAATGAGCAGTTACCTGGCGGATTTTTATTTTTTAATAACTGGTTTAATCCATAATTCCATAACAAACAGCTTCATTTCAGTATTTACTTTCTTTGTCCATTCAACAATATTCCCATATGGAAGTGATAGGAAATAGCTGAGAATTACTAAAAGGTTTTATTTTACTTTTATTGATTAGAAGGTTTATAGGATCTTTGAATGCTGGATTTTTTTGTCTTACCCATCCATGGCAGCTAAAAAAAAAAAATCAAAATATTCAGGTTTACATGTTAGCTCTCTCATAGGGAGTTGCCATACCTCACAGTTCAAAGTGTATTCTATAGATCAGTAACATTATACTGACATGTAATTGCAATTTACTATGCAGCAAAAATGATTCAAGAAAAATAATCTACAGTGTCTATTTACCTTTGTACAGGCAATTGCTTAAGTTAACTCTGCTTTTAACATTTGTACTTGGATAAAATGCTTATGTATGTATAGGAATGTCACAGTGCAAGATGCTGCTAGCCCAGGCACAAAGTATTAAAATTATTTTGTGAAGACTGGTGGTTGTATTAAAACTGTTGTGCCATTATACCTCAAAAAGATTGAAATGCTCATTTGTACTCCTTATGCCTCAGAATTTTGGATTATTGTCTTTTAGGTATAAGTAACCCAGTTTTACTACCTCAGATTAAGGATGAATGAACACTGGACCTTGAGAAGCACTTAACAGTATCTTCCAAAACACGGTGGTCACACACAAAAAAATTATGGTCAGTAGTCCAGGCAAGGCCTGAATTTTAGCTCAAGAATATTTCTCAGGATTAGTTGAGCAGATTTGGAGTTAAAAGTGAGGGAATTCGTGTCTGAAGGAAAGGGTATGTAAGTCATCCACAGAGCAGCTTCTAGCCCATTAAAAAAAAAAACTTGCTTTCACAGTACCACGTTCTGTTAGCCTACCTATTCTTCATCAAATCTAAGATGCTATCTCTGTAATTTTAGATATGACTAAAAGGGAAAATATTATTGAATAAAATGGGACAAGCCATTGATCATAAAATGCATCCTGAGGGACTCCTGGGTGGCTGCTTTCCCCGAGGGTGTGCTCCCAGGGTCCTGGATTGAGTCACACATTCACACACTGGGGCTCCCTGCATGGAGCCTGCTTCTCCCTCTGCCTGTCTCTGCCTCTCTCTCTGTCTCTCTCATGAATAAATAAATAAAATCTTTTAAATAAATAAATAAAATGCATCTTGATTTCCGAAATGAGAGATCCAGATTTCCAAAATACTAGTGTAAAAAATGTGCATCCTACAATTATGGAAATGTAAATATACAAAATATGAGGCATAATAAAAATCACAACTGTCACTTCATTCTACCTTTTCAAAAGCAAAGTAATGCTTTAAAATGTGCATATATGGTTTACATGAAATGTTTTATGCAGTTTTCTGTACTCAAGGTTTACTCAATATGGTTTAGAAAATTTTAAACATACTCTGGCTAACTAAAGCTAAATATAGATCACCATTTTGCTCAATGACACAATTTTTATGTAATGTACTTTGTAACTTATTCCTATAGGGAAGAACTTAAGACCTTAAGGACACTGGTTAAAGTGATTTATTTAAATACTAACTTTGTAGATAATTTTACTTCAAATTGTTCAGAAGTAAGGTAAAGCATTCAATTTTGCATTCTGTTAGGGATTATTTTTTTTTTAATATGGATCTTAATTACCAGAATGTACCTAATAAAGCTACTGTCTGTCATGCTAAGGTTGTAGGACTCCTGAAAAGGCAAAACTAGCAGGTTTGTTGCTTTCACTAGAGACATCAATTCATATGCATAGGTCATTAGCAGGTAAGTAGTAAACTCTCTTGGTGAAGGGTTTTTGTTGTTTTAGACAGCCAACTTTAGCGTACTCCAAGGGGAGAAATCTTAAATCCAGCTGAGTTAGGTTTGAGTCAGAGGGATTAAAAAGTGGTTGTCTTTACCTTCCCACTTAATTTACAAAAATCACACAAAACTGAAATCACTTGTGAACCAGGATGTGACCTAAGACTCAAGAAAAACACATAGAGTTTTAAAACTTCATCATATGAACAGGTTTAATGTAACATGGAATGCAAAAGATTAGAACCATTAATAAAATATCCAATTCTTCAACTTAAAAAAAATAATTAAAATAAATAAAATCAAAATAAGATAGTGACCAGAATAATAGTACCATGACACTCACAGTAAATAGAAAAGCTTCCATCCGCATTTTAAGGAGTAACAAATGCAGTGATACATATTTAAATATTCCACTCAATTTTGTAATTTATTTTTCATAAAAACATTACTCAGAAGGCTTCAGAAATTGATGAAAAGATGAGAAATCAGGTTAGAAATACATAATATGCCAAGATTTGTTAATTCACTGTTAAAAAGTACCTTATATTTGCTCATTTTAAACAATAATTATATTTCACATATAAGACAGGTAGTACCTTATCTGCATAAGAATGATAAACTTTTAGATGTACACTTAAATTGTTTTACTTTGAATCTTGTCACATTTTATCATTTTCATTTCTACTTTAAAAGGCTGACCAGGTTGTTTACCAATATAGTATTAGGATCAACAAATGCTGGACTGTATTACATTTAGTTTTATCCAATTTCATATAATATATGGAAAAATGATACACTCAAGTGGTTTTTGGTATTTCTTTGAAACAAAAATACTCATTTTATGAATGTGATAACAGCCTTATTCATGGTATGCTTTTTTTTTTAATGAGCAGTACAGATAGCAGACACATAACTCTTACTACCTATACTGTAACTACAAAGAAATGAAGCCAAACTTTAGAAAAATACAATGCAAGAAAAAATTCAAGTTAAAAATATATTCCTTTGGTTAAAAATCATCCCCTTTATAATACTCATTTGTAATCTAAGCTCACAGCATGTCCCACCAGCCCAAAGTAATCTTCTAAATGTCATTATACTTGTTGTATTACAATTTTTTTTTTTCGATCCAGTATTTATGGAGGTCACTGAGTTGCAGCAACAAAGTATTTTAACTCTAGGGAGAGTATTGCCTTGTTGCATTAGCTCCTTTGACAAATGTCTTTCTTAAATGATTTTTTACTTTAGAAACCTCCGACACATGTAGTTTTCTTCAGATACTGTATATCCGAACTTTTTATAGAAACCAACATTTTGTGGTAGACATTCAAGGGTAATCTTATAACAGTTCAGTTTCTTGCTTAGCAAAGTAAGAGTTGATAATAACCTGAAATTCAAAAATGGGAGAGGGAGGGAAAGCATAGAGCATTTGTTAATAAAAGTACATTTGAGTAATAACTTAATATGAAGATTATATAAATATAACTTCAAATTTATATTAGAGATTTAGACCATGACCTTTCTCACTATATTTATTTAAATATTCAAATTGTAAGTGGATAAGCATTTAATTCACCCCAAGCATTTTACTGTTTCAAATATACTTTATCTAGTAATCTCTAGCCCACTATATAATAGAACAATACTAAATTCACCCTAAACCCTCCTTAATACTAGTTTTAAGATTAATGTTAGCAACTAAAGACTCAATCTTTTTAAAAATATGGCCACAATTTAATTTTTTTTCCCTAAATCTATTCAGACTACTCAGGAACAGTCAACATTTCCCACGTGAAATAAATAGCTTTTGTTATCATTTTAAAGCTAACGTTTGTGAAAATATGTATCAGATTAACTCTGGATTGCTCTAATTAATATGAAATACAGCAAAAAAGTATACATTTTCCAAACCCAATAGAATGTGATTTTAGGGCCTCCTGGCTGGGGTTAAGTGTCTGTCTTCACCTCAGGTCATGATACCAGGGTCCTGGGATGGGTGCCCCTCCATTCCACCCTGGGTTCCCTATTCAGTGGGGAGTCTCCTCCTCCTGCCCTTCCCCCTGCTCTCAAATAAGTAAATAAAATCTTAAAAAAATGGAATATGATTCTAACTGCCTTAGGGAGAAAAAGACCAGAAAAGATCTACAAAAATGTATCCAGAAGGGTTTCTCATATTTGCATAGACTGAAAAGTTGTGTATCATTTTGAAGAGAGAACATTTTGACTGGAGTTACAAAATTATAAAAGGTATAATAAAATTAAGTGGACTAGAATACTAGAAGCTTGTCTGGTCTGTTCATTGATATATCCCAAATACCTAGAATAGTATCTGGCACATAGCAAGTACTAATAATTTACTGAGTGAATTCCTAAAACTCAGAAGAGATGGTACTAAAGCAAGTTCTAGCTTATAAGATAGGCAATAAACCTATGAGACATTTATTTTAAAAGATTTAGATAAATGCACAGATTTTAACAAAGCCTGTTTCAGTATGTTTCTAAAACTTATGAGACAAAAATAAATAAAACTTAGGAGACAGAACATCTCCTTTGTTTTTAAACATGACTGGGGAACTGGGGTGAATCACTTGACCTGGCCACAAGTTTTTTTCCTACTAGTAGAATACTATTATTAAAAGTTAATTTAAAGGGACGACTGGGTGGCTCAGCGATTAAGCATCTGCCTTCAGCTCAGGGCTTGATCCTGGAGTCCCCCCGATCAAGTCCCACTCCCTCTGCCTATGTCTCTGCCCCCACCCCCCCCTGTCTTTCATGAATAAATCTTTTTAAAAAGTTAATTTAAAAAATTTTATGGTCTACGAAACAGTATACTTCTAATTTCTAAACTTAATGATAAAACATAAAAGTACTTTGTTCATTAAATTTAGCTTAAGCTGCTGAGTGAGCCTAATTGATGACATCTAAAAAGAACTTCAAACAGGAAAACATTGACGAAAGAACATATTAACTACAACAGAAAAAATATCTAACCTTGTTTCTGCCTACTTACAGTTTGCCAAGCTGCTTTCCTCTGCATTCATCACTAACAACAACATCTTCTACTCTTCCTCTCTGAAAATGTTTAACAATGTTTAAAAGACTTAGGCATGTAGTTTTGTTTTTAGCTAAATCAGCAAGTGACAATTCAGTGATGTTTTATGAACAAACTTTAAAAACCAAAATGCCTTTTTTACTTACTATAATGAATCAACTTGTGGCCTAATCTTGTTTTGTCCATGTCTTAAATCTGCCCACCCCACTGTTTTAAAGATTTCAGAATCCACATCACCAAAATGTAATCTTGTCATGTTATACTACAACATCTTAACTCCTTGCTTAATAGTTTTCTTTCAAACATCTAAATACAATTGATTAATTTCTAGTAAAGAAACCCCACCAAAATTCATACCTCACAATACATTCCAAGTGTTCCTATCTATTTTCACTGAATTACCTAGGTTCTCATGTGAGTCATGAGGAGTGAACGGGCACTAGAAATTAGAATACAGTTGACCCTTGAACAACATGGGTTTGAACAGCACAGGTGTGCCACTTATATGCAGATTTTTTTGGATAAATACTCTGTAAATATTTTCATTATGATTTAGTAACATTTTCTTTGGCTTTACTATAAAAATGCCATACATAATATATTTAACACACAAAATGTGTTAATGAGCTATTTATGTTATTGGTAACACTTCCA